ATATATATATATATATATATATATATATATATATATATATAATACTTTCCAAAATGTAAATTTTAAAAAGTCTTTACTTTAAAATTTATATATTTTAAGTTATGTATTACCAATGTCAAACAGCGATTTGTCAAATCATGTTTTAATTATAATTATATACACATATAATAAATGTTCAAATTTGATTATCTCAAAAATTAAAAAAAAATTGATTATCTCAGATGAAAAAAATTTATTCTATAGTTTTTTGAATTTTTTTATAAAGAATCGTGTTTGCAATAGGTATGATTCGGTCATATTTTATGTATGTATATTGTACATATATATATATATATATAAAAGCCGGCTTTATATATATAAAATTTATATATTAATTTAATACCTAAAAGATAAAAAAAAACAAAAGTTGATACACAAAAATATTGATTAAAATTTATTTATTAATTTATGAATAATTTAATTTTACAAAATAGATGAAACAAAATAAAATTATATTTCTATTCTTATAATCTTCTCTGTCATACATGTTGTTTTACTTCATCTATTGCAAATATAAATTGCTTATAATTTAACAAATAAGTTTTAATTGATATTTTTATATTTGTTTCAATATTGTTTTTAATTGTTATATTTGTTTCAAAGAATCTTTCAAAGATATTCTATATAAAAAATAAGAAAATATTATATAATCTATTAATATTATAAAATATTTGAATAAAAATATAAACTTTTTACTTATATAATTATGAATGATATTAATTGTTAATTATTATATAATTAAAATTCAAATTATTATCACACCTATAAAATTATTAATCAATTATTTTTATATGAAAATTTATATAAATTGTACCAATAACTGTAGGTTCAAGATCCAAAAATACCGCTCGTGGAACATATTTCCCACCACCAGTTTCGCTAAAGAAAGTTTGAAAACCTTCGTCGCTGGAGCAACTTGTAGGTGGAAGCATGCCATCGGGTTGTATGCCATGTTCAAGACAATACAATTCCCAACAAGCGTTGCCCATTTGGACGCCGCCTTGGCCAATATGAACTGACAGTACTTCACGCTAAAAAATAATTTTTTTCTTAATTTTTATCTTAATCTTATTTCATTTTTTTTCTTGATTTTATTAAATATTTATTTTTTTGATATTAAATCTATCTATTAAATCTATTCATATTAATTCTATTTCCTTCTTGAATTATTAAATATAATTTTTGAATATTATTGATTGCTATTAATAATATATTATTTATATAATTATTAATGTATAATATATGTATAATTTATAATTATTAATTGTTAATGTAATAACAATTAATTATTAATGTTTCGAAATAAATTATTAAAAATATAAATAAATTGATAATAAATAAAATAGTAAATATAAATCTTTTGTATAAGTTAGAAGAATTTTAAAAATTTATTTTATAAATTATTATCTTAAATTTTTATTTTATAAATTATTATGTAAATATTTAGTTACATGTAAATAATAAAATTAAGTAAATTAATAATTACCATTGTGGCGAATTATTGATTTTCGATGAAAATAAGGTGAAATAAACGTTGACAGGATGAACGTCCAAATTCAATTGAATCAACGATACATTCTGTTAAAAAATTTTGTTTTTGTTGCTAAGAAACGATAGTTTCATTAAAAATTTATATAATATCACTCAATAAATTATTAGGGTGTCCCATAAGTTTCTTTTTTTTTTTTATACGAAATGAATTCATGATATTTGTTATTTAAGATTGATTTATTGCATTATATATAAACCATTCTGTTCTATCACTTTCTTCCATTTCTTAGGAAGCCTCATTATTCCCTCTTTCCAAAATTTTTTGGGTTTGCTTGCAAAATATTCATCGAGGTGCGTTTTTATTTCGCTTACGGATTGAAATTTATCATGGAGAGAATCTTTTAATGACAAAAATAAATAATAGTTGAATGGAGCAAGATCTGGGGAATACGGATGCGGTAAAACGTCCCAATCAAACTGTAACAGCTTTTATCTTACAGTCAATGCAACATGCGGTTTTGCAAAAAATAAATATTTAATAAAATCATTGTCGTGATGAAAAACGACGCCTCGTCGGTTTGCCAATTTTTCTGCTATAACAGCTTTCAAATTATCAAGCTGATTACAATATTTAGCAGAATTAATAGTTTCATCTTGAGAAAGGAATTCGTAGTAGACTACATCTTTCCAATCCTACCAAATGGACAAAAGAACTTTCTTCGGGTGAAGTGCAGGTTTCGCGACAGTTGAAGATCTATTGTCCTTGGACAAAATGCGTTTTCGCACATTTTGATAAAATCCAAATCTCGTCTCCAGTGACAAACCTCTTTAAGAAAGAATCTCTTTCATGTCGCTGAACAAACAAATCGCACATGATTCATAAGATCGGTTTCCGTTAATAACTGTAGAATCCAAACTTCACATCGATTGATATATCCCATCCTGATCAGATGATTATGTACCATTGTTCTGGGAATGTTGGTGGTATCCATTATCTCTCGCACACTATATCGCGATTAGATTTTTAACAAGCTTTTCATGACTTTGATAAGATCTATATCTGTCATTACTGGGCTGCAGTCTTCATCTTTCAAGTCAAAATTGCCAACTCTAAATCTCTTAAATCAATTGCGGACAATCGTAATAGTCATAGCACCACTTCCATAAACAATACAAATCTCGTCTGCAGTATCATTTGCACTATTATCTTTTTTAAAGCAATGAAATATAATATGATACAAATGCTTCCTTTGGCTATCCATATTGATGTAGAAAAAAGTTTTAAAAGAGACTATGTCACTAATGAAACCTACTTCAAAAGAGCTCTGAGACGATTGAAAAAGATACCATAGACGGCAAATAAATAAGCCTATGTATGTTTATATAAATATAACCACTTAAAGTTATTCTTAGCAAAAGAAACTTATGGGACATCTTAGTATATTTAATATTTTTATATTTCGAATAAATTACATTTAATATAAAATAAAAATAATTTTTTAATTTTAAAAATTTAATTTTGAAAAAATTAATCTGTCATAATTTTTTAAATTTTCTATGTGAAAGAAATTTATTTTTTAAAAATATTAAAATTTTTTTAAGCTGTTAACACTTACCGCTACATTATATAATATATATTATATAAGGAAGATGTAGAGAATATAGAATTAATAAAAATTTGAAAGATTAGAAATTGGTTGGAATTAAGAATAAATAATAAAATAATTATTTAATAATATCATTTAATAATAATATTTATTTATTATATAACAATATATTATTAGTTTATATATACACACACATACACACACACACACACACACACACACACACACACTTTTATATTAATAGAATATATCACATTATCTATTTATTATAACAAAATAAATATTATTGAAATTTTATTATTTACATTCTATTCCATTTCATTCCTTTATTCTTTTCATTTCATTATATTCTTAACATTTTTAATATAATAATATTAATGACAAAAAATAATATAAAAAATTAAAAATAAAAATTAATATAATTAAATTAAAATTAAAAATAATAAATAACATTTTTAACATATTTAATATATAATATGTTATATTATATTTTTATACAAGTACCAATATAATATTTTGCATTTATGATCAATAAAATATTTTTCAAATAATAATATAATTAATTCAAAATAAATAAATTATTATATTAATTTTTATTTTTTATTTTTATTTATTATTATATTAATTTCAATATTGTTTTTATGAAATTAGAAGTAGTTTAAAGATTTTGTAAGTTATCGAATATATATGTTATATATATTTTATAGTTATTATTTTATAGTCTTAATTAAATGATGTATAATTTTTCGATAGGGTGTAATCATCGCTGTTGTAAGGATATTTTTTCAATACAAATAAGTAGGACGAGGTGGCCGAGAGGTTAAGGCGTTGGACTGCTAATCCAATGTGCTCTGCACGCGTGGGTTCGAATCCCATCCTCGTCGATTTATTTTTTGTTTTTAACATTTTATGGAACTTAATTTACCATTTTTTAAATACTTAGATTAAAATTTATAATCATAGTCATTAGGTACAGATATTAATGAAAACATATTATATTGCTGTATATAAATATTTGTAAAATATTTGAGAAAAATTATTGTCAAAATTATTTTTTATATGTTAGTTACAGAAAACAAAAATAAATTATTTGCAATCTCCAAAAGAAAATAAATTATGTATAATTTAAAAAAAAGAAATATTGAATGGAAATTAATGTTGCAACAAAAACTATATAATCAGGAATTACTATTTCTACAAGTAAAAATAATTTCTAATTGTTATTTTAAAATATAATTTATTATATAATTATATTAATTATATATAATTGATTTATATTAATTATTATAAAAATAGTACTTATTAAGTATATATTAAACTGTCAAATTTAAATCATATAACAATACATTATATAATATATAATTTACATTGTCATATATATATCGTAATTATAGATCAAAAATTCAAATGCATAATAAATTTATATTATATTTAGAGATTTATCTCTATGTTAAGGCACCATTTTGATTGCAAATATGTTACAAATTATTGGCAGTAAGTAAATTAAAAAAAATTATGTTAGTCCAGATCTATTCTTTAAATGTTAGTTAAACATTTTCTGTTCTGTTTTAACGAACACGAGATATTTTCTTACTCTTGTCATTTTCAATTGGTGGTGGAGGTCCTTTAGCACTTTGATGTCGATTATATACACTGAAAAGAAATAAGCACTTATAAAATATGTTTATAATATATATTTAAAAAAAATATGTAACACTTACTATCTATATGTTTCAGAACGAATGTAATCCATAACATGAGATATGCCTACTTGCAACTGATCACCAATTGGTGTAACCCATGGATTAAATTCCATTCTAAACACTGCTTTATTACTTACTAAATCCAAATTTCCTGAAATATTAAATTTTTATTATTCTTCTTTCCTTTCTTTAGAATTTTTAAATTTTTTAAATTTAATTTCATTTTCTGTAGTACATACCTATTTCCGGAGGTAGAACTGTCAATCGATTTCCTTGAATATGTAATTCTCTTAATCGCGTTAATTCTCCGATTTCTTTTGGTAATTCGACTAGATCATTTTCTCTTAGTACAAGCTAAAGTAAAAATTAAATTTTATGTGTAAATAGTAGAAGTAAAAATACATTTCAATATAAAAATATTTTATTACTTACAATTTGTAAATTTTTTAATTGTCCAATTTCAGGAGGTAAATATTCAAAATCATTATCAGCTAAATAAAGTGCTCTTAAGGTTTCTGTAAAAAAATATATTATTTATAATCAGATTTTAAAATATATTATATAAATATGATTTTAACATATATTACTAACCCATCATAAAAAAGTTTCCAGGTAAATTTTTATCACTTAGATTATTATATGTTAAATCTAAAACTTCTAATACTGGAAATGCACCAAATCCACGTGGAAGTACATCTAATCTATTCATTCTATAAAAAATTATTTGAATAATATGCAACATTAATTATAATTAGCAGATTAATTATAATTCATAAGCAACTTACCCTACATTAAGAATTCGTAACTTTGGCATTTGCGACAATGAAATTGGAAGTTCAGTAATATGATTATTAAATAGATTTAATATTTCCAAATTGACTAGATTTGCAAGACCTGGTGGTACAGCTGTAAGAAAAAATTTAAATATAATAGAATTTAGATATAGAATATTATAACATAACACAATTTATAAATGTAGGAAAATTTAATAAATTTACCTTGAATTTTATTATGACTTAAAGTTAACCTAGTGATATTAATCATATTAACTGAAAAAAAATAACATATCTTTAAAAATATAAAAATACCTATACAATATTAAAAAATTTTTTAAAATAATTTAAATAAATTTCAAATAAATATGATCAATAATATCATAAATAATAATGATGTTAATTCATATTAAACATTTAAAAATGTATATATGAAAACAATTTATATTAATAATAGTATTTTTTTTTCAAATTGTTATTTAAAATATAATAATTTTACGCATGCGTGAACGCGCCCACTTTGCGGGCAACAAATGGCCTCGAATTTTCATCCATTCCAAAAAACCAGTCAAGACAAGTTGCCTAATTTGGCGAACGGAACAGAGCTCATGAGAATATGGAGGACTCACGCAATCCTGGCATCTCTTCGAATGTCGAGATACTCTTATCCGCGAGATCCAGCTCTGGATTCTGGATCTCGCGGGCCTCATCGAGCACCTTCTTTGCCTTTGACATCTTTCCGGCTGGAATACACGACACTGGTGCCTGATTCATTGCGCGCGCAATTGTACACACACGTCAGTAAGCTTTAAATAAACATGCGCACAACCTTCTGTAGTACAACGCACAACTCACTGACTTCATTTTATTTTATCTGTTAGATCGTATTGTAGATCACTAACAGATGGCGCTCGCACTTATTACGAAATTTGAATCAAAATATGTGCACACACAAAATATAAAATAAACATGCGATGTATTTTTTTGATATAGATTTTGAAGTCCATTTGATCCTTTGCAATATTATGGATAAAATTACAAATTATATTATCGACTAAACCTCTCATCTAATACATCTTTGTGTTACATACTTCGAAATAGCATTCGTTACCATTCTTGCGTCACATGCATTATCGATTCAAAATAAATGAGATAACATCAAATGAATAGAAAATCAATTAAATAATAATAGTCAATTATTTTTAATGTAAAATTATAATCATAATTGATTTATTATTTTTAATATAATTAATAAATTATTTTTTTATAATATTTTTTTTATAAAATTGATTTATAATAGAATTCAAATTTAGCATGAATTGTATATATTTATTTCGGAATCATAAATACTAAATTCAAATTTAAATTCAACAAAAAATTAATATACATGTAAATGATGTTCTGATTTTTTAATGAAATATCTGATATTCTCATTAATTAAATATTTTCATCGTCTCAAATATTTTGCTTGTTTTCAATAAAATTTTAAAATATTTTAGATGAAACTTGAATAATTTTAAGAGAGATTCTAATGTTAATAATATTATTAATACTTTTTAAGTGAATATTATTATTATTATATTATATGAAGTATTATATTATATTATATTATATTATATCAAATTATTTTTATTTTTTTTAAATAATATTATATTTAAGTTGTCTATTTTATTTAATTGAATATCTCAGAAAAAATTAAAAAAAAAATATTCTAACAAAAGTTACATATAAAGTATTTATATTTTTATTATCGGAAAAAAAATTTTAAGATTTTAAGTTAATTTGTTATATTTTTTTACATATAATATAATACATATAATATATTTATTAAATCGAACGAATTTAATAATATTAAATTATTTTATTTATTGATCAACAATAATTTTACGTAAAATTATTGAAAAATTAGACAATATATATTGCTTATTTTTACTCATTTAAACACTGCTTAACTATATTATTTTTAAGAACATTTGGAAATTTTTTGATAGTAAACATGCAGATATTTTTCAATTTTTCTAAGAAGTTTCAATTTTGTATAAACTTTTCAACTTTTTTTAAGAATTAAGAACAAAAAATCGTGTAAATATGTCAGTCAAATATGATAAAATATTGACTTTATTTTATTAGAATATATTTATAATATATAATTTTGGCTATATTAAATATTTTTGAATTTTAAAAATTTAAGTAAGAAAAACATTTAATATCATAAAAAGTTTTAATTATAAAACTATTATAATTTAATTATAAGAAGAATAGAAATGATCTTTTGTAAGTAAGTGTATAAAATTTGAATAAAAATTTATGTTTTTATAAATATAAAAAAAAATTTGAATTAAAATTATATTTATATTAAAAATTATATTTATTTATCATTTAAATTATATTCTTCTCATATAAAATATCTATTTTCATAAATTATAGAAAAATTTTATATACTATCTCTTTTCGAATTATATATTCGAAAGAGATTTATATGATATATAAATCGAAATTTTTATCAAAAAATTTTGATAATTTCGTAAGAAAATATATTTGAAAAAGAGGTAATCTATTAAAATTTTACAAAATATAATGTATTTATTAATTTTATATGTATTTTTTACGTATATATTTTCTTAAGCTATCATATTTTCAGAAATAAACATTTTTCAGAAAAACATTTTTTGTTCATTTTATTTAATTCGATTTATAAAACTTGATATACTTATCTCTTGAAACTACTATATTTTTAGAAATTATAAAAAAATATAAAAATATACATAAAATTATTATGGTAATAAATTAAAGTAAACTAAAATAAATAAATATATAACATAGATTAGATAAGTTAAGTTCAATGATGAATTTATTCAATTCATTCAAGTCATTCATCCAAAAAAAATATCATCATATTATTTTAAAAAAATCTTCAATATATTATTTATAAAAAAATTATATACAAAATTTATATTAATTACAATAAATTTATATTAATACACAAAAAATTTATTAAAAATTTAAAATTAAGAAAAAAATGTTTTCAATAGTTCAATATTTCATTTTGTTTTCTTCAAATTTGTTATTTTTTTATTTTTGTAATTAAATTTTAATATAATTTCATTTTATATTTTGTTAAAATGATAATAACATAAACGATATCTAGAATATACATGATATTTTATAGAACTCCAAAATTTATGTTTTGAAACATCGATTTCAAAAAAAACAAAATATTTTTTATATCCTCAATTATACATTTCAATTATACATATATTATATGTTAATATATTCATAGAATACTTTAGATAGAATCGATTTTAAACATCAAAATAAATATAAAGTTACAAGTTACAATTTTTATACAATTATATAAAAATATAAAAATATCTATTGATCTTTATTTATTAAATTATAAATAATATAAGATTGCGTGACAAAAAATAAAACTATCTTATTCTAATGCAAATTTCAATTATTTATAACTTATATGCTTTGAACTAATATTTTTATATATATATATATATATATATAAATATTTTATAATCATTATTTTAGTTTTTGAGATATTTGAGAAAATATATTTAGTATTATATGTATTACTTTTTGCAATATTTATATTACTTCTGAACTGTTCCATAGTACATATTATATTATTCTAACATTGTCTGTCATGTATATATATTATAAGAAGTTATTAGATTTTCTAACTTATTTCTAGCTTAAATAATCATTAGGAAGTGTATAATTATTATTTAAATGAGTATTTTCTCGAACAAAAATTCTTTTCTTTTTTGAAAGAAAGTATATAAAGATGTTGGAAGTGGGAATTTACAGCAAGAATGGATACAAAATGGATATATTACATGAATTCTATGTGAGTATATGTATATCATACTTACACACGACAGCAAATACATCATAGATAATCATTTTCTATAGGTATAGATGAACAGATACACCAGAAATAAATAAATATATATATAATGCAAAAAAATAAAATAATTAATTATATATTTTCTTCAAAGCCTAAAAAACATCATAAAGAATATGATACTAGAATATCTACATATAAAATATATTAATCTACAGATCAATTTGCAAATCCAGAAATTAGATAAATTGTTATATGTTTATTTTTTCTCACTAAAAATATGATAGCAAATAATAGAAAAAGTTTTCTTAATAAATTTATTAAAAATATTTTTTTATAGATTTTAATTATTATAAAGAATTGTGTGATTACATTGAGCAGATATTACTCATACTAACTGAAGAGTAAGTATTGATTATTGTTAAGTTATTATTAATTGATTAATATTATAAAATATATTTATATTTTAGAAGAAATTTTCTGCTGGAAATAATTTTAAAAAAATTTGTCATCTTCAATAACATCATAATAAGAAATTCTATTAAAGTTAATCAATATCCATGATGGCAGAAATGGATAATTTGTAAAGTATTAATAGTTATAATTATAAATGTTTATGCAAGCAAAATACAATTTTTACAAATACAATTGAAAGAAATGAACTTTATAGATATGCTATACTTCAAATGTTATGATACATAATATATTTTAAATATTTTGTGTTTTTTTTGTATATTACGTGAATTTTGTAGATTTCTGATTTTTGTATAAATACATAAAAATTTGCAATTTAGTTATGAGGAAAGAATAATTGAAACAAAAATTTTCATTTTATAATATGTGCTTATATCAATTATTATTTATTATATTTTGTTTTTTTATTTATATTGAATTATTCAATATAATAATAATAAAAAATTCAATATAATATATTGAATTTTTTATTTATATTAAATTATTTTATTTATATTAAATCTTATTTATTCCAATTAATCAAATCTGCGAACAGTAAGTTTTTTAAAATTTTGACGTCAATATTTGTTCAGAAAAGCAGATTTTATATGAAGGATCCATTATATCTGAGTCTGTTAGCAGATTGACATTAGAAATATAACAAATTCTGTTAAAGATAGAAATCGTTTTATGTGAAAAGTAAATATATATATATATAATATAAATAATAATATAAATGATTATAAATTGACAGGAGAAATCAAATAGAATCTGTATATGAGAATCTAGTATTTTACGTCAGATTGATAGCAAAATCTTATTTTATTAATTTAAATTTTAAATGCGATTCAATCAGTTATATATATTCTCAGCAGATTTTTCAAAAATTTGTCATTAAAAAGACAACAAATGATACAGAATTTGTTATAACAAAATCTGGTAGCATAATGACTGCAATATAAGTAATTCTATAGGATGCATTATATATATATATAAGTAATGCTAAAAATAAATTTTCATCAGAAATTATTATTCAATAATTGCAATAAAAACATAATAAAATTTGTACAGAAATATAACAAAAACAAAATTTTTAGCATAAATTTGATGACAAAACAAAAAACAAATGATGATAAAACTATTATTTCTTATGGTAATCTAGTTTTAATTTGTTATTAGCAAATCTATTGATAATATTCAATACTGTTAATCTTTTCTGAATTATCAATAAAGTGGAAAAATATTAATATAAATAATATTTTCTTTATATATTTTTTTATTTATTCTTTATTTATTATTTTTATGTTATGAAATGAAATTTGTAATTATAAGTATACATATATGTATGTATGTATGTATGTATACTGAATAATTTTTCAGGAGATATTATATAGTTTGAAAAACAAAGAAGATACACACAAAATCCTATTATTCATGTTCTTTTTATTTTTTTAATATGATAAATTTACAGTTTCTTTCTTCAATTTGTTATAATATTTTTTAAATTAAAAATTTTTCGATATAAATATTTTTTTGTAAGACAATTNCTTTTCTTTAATGAAATAGATTAAATTTATAAAATAATATGAAGTTATATTTTATAGTAATATGAATATCTATTTTGAATTTACGCGTGTCTTAATGGCATGTCTTATATGATATCAATGATTAAGTTAAAGTTTTTTCGAGATATATATATATCTTCCAAATATTAGAATTATGAAATTAATATTCAAAATTTAATGTTGAATATTAAAAAGATACATTATTATCTTATAATCATAAATATTTATTTAAAAATTTTTTTTAAATTTGAAAATATTAATTTGATTTACGATTTCAAATAAATTCATTCACTGTGCATCTTGACCAAATTCATATATTAAATTGAAAAAATCTTTATAATTGTAATATTTTATTAAAAATATTCTTTTCTTATTCTGATGAAAAAAAAATATTACATATTATAATTACATATTTAAAATACATATTAATAATAAAATATTTAATTATTATGTTATATATAATGAAACAAAATAATATAAATATTTATTTCCTTTATTTAAATCTATACATACTTATAATAATAATAATAATGACAATTTAAAAGACTTACTTAAATTCCATATTTAAAATTTATGACAGAATCTATTGCGTTTCTGCAGTCTAATGCACAGACTGTTATGTTTCTATTAATTTAATATCAAATACTATATTTATATCGATCTACTGTATTTCTGATATCGATTTGTTATTTAATTTGAATAACAGATTCGAATTGCAAAAATGAAGCCAAAAAACAGATGAATACTATTTTGACTTTAAATCTTTTTGCCTCTGCTGTCAATCTGACATTAATTTGCTACGTTTGTTATTAGGGATATTACTCATATAGTATATTATTTTATTATTCAATTATTTTATTAAATTGAAAATATTTCAATAATAATAATATTATAAAAAGTAATTATTCAAAAACAATATTCGATTAAAAGTATGTGATGTTTATTCTAGAATACTAGATCTAGAATGATATATATTATATACATACAGCAAAATACTATATATATATATATATATATCAACATTCTGAACAACTTTTTCTTATACATGTTTAATGTTAGAATAAAATTAAAACCATCGTTAGACTTTAGTTTTATTCTAAATAATATTTTAAAAAATATATTCTTTATAATATATATCATATATATCAATTTTATTATATATGTATAACTAATATATAGAAAAATAAATTCAACACATATAACCTTCGATAGCCGTGATCGTCTAGTGGTTAGGACCCTACGTTGTGGCCGTAGTAACCCAGGTTCGAATCCTGGTCACGGCAATGTGTGAAAACATTGTCACGGGAAGGATTTTTTTTTCTTATTTTTAAAATGATATATTTTATATCTATATACTATACCTATATTTATAATATTTTATAAAATAAATGTAATTTTTTAATTTCAAAGTCTTTATACTTTATTATATTTTTTTTAAATATAAACTAATACAAGAATTATAAAATAATGATTAATGACAAAAGAGTAGCAAATTAAATAAAAAAAATTCATTAACAAGTCATTAATATATAAATACACATTACAAAGATTATTATTACATTATTGCTTAATTTAATTATGATGTCATTTCTACAATGTATGCATATTAAAGTAAACATTCATGTTATGATAAATAAAAAGACTTTTTCATAAATTGTCAGCAAATTTTCTTTTGTGAAGTCAATAAATTTCAGAAACAATCATGTCAGATTTCAGTGCAAGTTCGTGTTTTAAAGTATTTTTATCATTGTTAACAATTTAATTTTTTAAAATCTTAAATATACTATGGAGCGCTATAAAATAATACCGTTAATTTTTATTTTATATTATATTATATTATTATTTATACGTGATATTTCTTGTGTTAAATTTGATGAATTACAATCACTTACTTCAATAACATTCAATCATCCTAATACATATGATGATTACAAAGGTAATATAAATTCATAATAAACAAAAAGTTAAAATTATATTTCATATATAAATTTTTATATATCTAATCCATTTAACAAAAATAAGAAAAATTAATTGTTAAATTATATATTATATACAATTAATATACAAATAATATATTATTTGTTTATGTAGATTACAAAATATATTATGAAAAGAAATTAAAAGAATCTAATTTTAATAGTAATTCTAAAGAATTGGTTAAACATATTCGAAATGTACGTGGTATATCGGAATCTAGTCGATATCTCAGACCTGGTAAGATTTGGATATTTTAGGAAAAATAAAAATAATGGTTATTAATGATTTCAGAATATATTTATAATTATTAATTTTTAAATTTTATTCAATAATTTTCAGATGATGCTCATCAAGTTGCAAATTATTTTCTTACTGGAGGACCATTAAAAGGTCATGCACATTTTGTGAGAGAAAGAAATTGCAATTCAGAGAGTGAAAAAAATGAAGATGAAATAAGTAATTCAACTAATAAGTCTAATACAGATTCATCTGTGAATGAACAAAATTTAAATATAACTTCATCTGATTCTATTCTTGGAGCACCACATCTACCGACATTACATTCTCATAATTTACATTCTCTTTTACATCCAACTTTAAATACATTAAGTAGAGTACCACAATTACTATTAGGAAATAATTTATTACATTCTGTGTTACATCCTAATTTACATCCTCATATTAATGCATTACATGAAATTCCTAGCAGTTTGGTGAAATCAGCTAGTTTACCATTAAATGACTTAATGCATGCTAGATCAGAACTCCGTAATATATTACATCCAGATGGACCACTTCTTGGAAATATCAATAAAGTAAATAAGTAATGTATAATACAATATAATTTATATATTTTTGTAACTAATTATATTATATTTAATTTTTCAGGCATTAGAAGGACATACTAAAAAAAGAAAAAATCTGAAGAATACTTTGATGTATCCATTTGGACAATATACTCCTATTGTGGGATTAGCTCCTAAAAATTTCCACAATAATGTATGTACATGTACTACTTTTTTTATATGTTATTATTTTTAAATGTTAACTTTGAAAAACTTTATAATATATATATTTAATTTACAGATTCCATTATCAAAAATGATTGAACCTCATCTTTCAGCACCCCATCCTCATCCTAACGGTTATATTGTGAAATATATACCTCACAATAAACAATCAAAATTATAATAACCTTTCAATATCAAAGAAAATAATTTAAATGTTCAGAAAGATATAACAAATTCTGATTTCAATGAAAATGAAGATAGAAAAAAATATGAATTAATAGCACTATCAAAATTGAAATAAGAATAACGAATAAAAATTAACGAATAAAATAATTTGTTAAAAATTTTTAAAAATATATATAAATATGGAATTTTAATATTATTAATTAATGATTATATTAAATGTTTATATAAATGGGTAATATTCAGTTCAAAACTATTTGTCAGATGATATGAAGATAATATAATCTTTCTTATATGAAAATAATTCTTATTTTAATATTAGAATACACACATAAAAAATATTTTTAAGTTTTAATTTTTTTAGTATTTGTTATTTCACACTTTATCACCTCCTTCCCTTTCCTTTTCCTTTCTTCGATGATGAACTTGATGGTTGTGAAAACTGTTCACCACTTGAATGCTTTCCTTGGCGGGTTTTTAATTTTGGAATAGTGGTACCTACATAAGCCAAAACAGAATCTCTAGTAGGAAATTCAGATTTTACAGGAGTACCATCGTCATTTTTTAATTGTACGCGGATGCGTCCACGATATAATAATTCTTTGCTACGCTCTCGTGGATGTAATTTATTTTCTACCCCAACATTAAAACCAGCTGCTACCAAAACATCACGAATTTCTTGATGTGTTGGATTTTCAACACATTTATTTTTTGCAAGTTTTCGTCCTTCTGCTAACGTTCTTTTGCTGTTTAGATAAACTGGATAAATACAAATCCATCTATAATAATAAAAATATATATATTGTATATATATATTTATATATAATATAATAATAAAAATAATAAAAATAAAATATATTGTAGTGCTGTCATTTTCATGTCAAAGAGGTTATGTAGCAGATGTTATTCATATATATATACAAATCAGTTAAAAGTAACTTTATAAAAACAATGATTAAATTATAAAAATAAAAAACTTTATATGGAACATTATAAACAGTATTATAAATACGTTAATTTTTTAACAAATTTACCTTTCACGATCGCTGTGTTTCTTTGATGGATTCCATCCAAGCGCCATGTTTGATATTATCGAGACTTCTATAAAGTAATCAATAATGTAATTTTACTTTAATATTTTATTATCATAAAAAGAATTTTCAAATAAAAAATGTTAAATAATGATAATATTAATATAATAAAGATATAATTAAAATTAGTAAAAAAATAGTGACAAGAAAAAAGCAATAAAATTAAAACCACGTGGGCTCGTCCGGGATTTGAACCCGGGACCTCTCGCACCCGAAGCGAGAATCATACCCCTAGACCAACGAGCCATATAACATTTACGTTTTAAAATATCAATTATAAATAAAATATATAATTAATTAATAATATATAATTAACAAATATTAAAAGTTATATGAATATTCATCTATAAGGATACATTAATTCATTATTTTTGATATTATTTGATTTCATATAATATTTCATTTATTTCATTAATTTATTCTAAAATACAACATAAATATATTTTCTAATTATTTATAATTAAAGTTAATTATTAATAATCAATAAATAAAAATATGTAAAGTGCAAAATATTATAATATTATCTAAAATTGAAATAAATTTAAATGAATTGTTTATTTAAAAATAGTCGATTTTTTTTTATACTTTGATATGCGATCTAGATAATTTTAATTTTCATCAAATTATTATTCATTATAAATTTTTACTTTCATTTTATTCCAATTTATTTTTGGTTTCATAATTGTTAAATTTTACAAATTTTAAAAAATGTTTTAATAATATATAAATCCGTGGCATAATAATATATCTATGATGTTAATTTTTAAAAAATATTTTATCAATACTTTTTAATATATCTCACATTTAATTAATAAAATTATTGTAAATATTAATAAATACATTCAAAATACTGCATATTGCACATGAAAAAGAAAAGCACGTTTTTGCAAGTAGTTTCAACTTTCACTATTACTTGATTAATAAACAATTATCACGTATAATGATGAAAATGTATAATCGGCATAGTTTACTTTCGGCATAGATACCAAACAATAAAATAATTATATAGGGAATGTTTCAATCAAGTCTCTATTTATAGCAATTATTGAGCTGATGAAAAAAAAAAATTAGGTTAAATAAAATATAAATGTTTTAAATATTTCCAAAGAAAAGCAATTAAATAAATAAATATTCTCCAATATAATATTATAATAATATGAAAAAAAATTTTTTATATATTATGAAATCTATACAATGCAATCATATAATGCAAACAATATTAGTTAAAACAAAAAAATTAATCTAAAATTATTTTGAAACGATTCCTATATCATATCATATAAAATAAATAATAAAAATAATATATAATAATCAAAACAAAAATTTTTTAAAATATTTATTTATTATTTATTTATTATTTATGGTAATTATAATTATATATATCTTTTTTCCATTATTATATTCTAAATTTTCTGCATAAAAATGTGATTATTTGTCTATATTATTATTTGTCTGTGCATTTATCAATAATTTCTAAATAAATGATTTTATAACATTTTATTACTATTTATTGTATATGTATTAAAAAGATGACAAAAAAATGAATTTATTGTTTTTTATAAAAAAAAATTTACATCAGTTAATTTTTCTTCCGAAACATTAATGAAACACGAGTACTTACAATGTTTAAAAAAATTATAACACAAAATTTTTTTTATAAAAAATAATAATATATATCGATTTTGAAATGTTTATATAATGTTTATATAAATTCAATATTATTCAAAACAAAAGTTTTCATAAACTCAATATTACCAAGAATGCTTCAAGTAGGTTATAATTGAATAAAAATTAATAAAAAATTATATAAATTTTTAATATATCTATTTATAAATCAATTCTTAATTCGAAAAAAAATCAAAACTGGTCTTATAAAGTAAACATATCAAATTATAATAAAATAAAAGATTAAAATGAAAAAGTCATTTCTATGTCATTCGATATCTATTCGATTTTATTCGATATAATTCGATATAATTATCTATTTATAGATCAGAATGCCTTTAATTCGAAAAAAAATATTACAATTTTTTCTGTACACAATCAAATTATAAAAAAATAAAATATTAATATAAAAATTTATAATATTCATTCATATATCATTAAATCCTAATTCGTTATAATTCATAAATCGGAATATTCTCAATTTGAAGAAAATATCACAATTTGTCCTGCAAAATAAATACAATCAAATTATAATAAAATATTAATATTCATTCAAATAAATCATTCATGATCATTATTCAATTTCAATTTGATATTTTATTATTAATATTTCATTATATTTATATTATTTTTTATAATATTTTTATAATATTATAATATTTATAATATTTATATTATTTATCTATTATTTTCTTATTATACAATATTTTATTAATATTTATTTTATATTTATAATGTAATATAATGTAATAGTATAAAATGTAATAATAAATAATTTAAGTTAATATGATTATATATGTATATATTACTTGATACAGTAATTTACATGTAGTTTACATAGTTTATGTAGTTTATATTGAATGATAGTCCAAGAAATTATGATAAAAAAAATCATATTGCTAAATCATACGATATTGATATATTAAAATTTTTATCATACTTTAATTTCTCACCTTTAATCTTGCACGCGATAGAAAATTTATGGTGATAACTTAATATAAAATATAATATAATAATAAAATAGTATAAAATTGTATCACTGATAATTAATTTTGAACAAGAAATAATATTTTGATATGAAAATTTTTTAATTTTTTATAATTATATATATACTTAATAGATATATACTTAAAAAGCATATCTTTTTTATTCATTGTTATATTTTTCTATATTTGAACAATATAAATGATATATTATTTAAAACTATTTTGATTTATTTGATTTATTATTACTATGTAACATATATTTTTTTCAATATTTGTATTTAATGAGAAGAAAATATTCGTTAATTACATTCAATATTTAAATATCAAAATTCAATTTAATTTTTGCATAATATTCCGTGAAATATAAAGTACGTATAAATTTAATAATTCTTACACGCGATGAAGAATAAAATTTCATATGTAATGATCAATGATTATTATAATTTCTATTCTTTGTTTATATTGTATAAATATATTTCAAACACATTGAATTATTATTTTTATTGTTATATCTGAAATTATTAAGCATTCTATTTCATTATTTTATATGTTTATTATATATAATTATATATAATTATATAAAGTACCATAAAATTTAATGAATACTTTTGTAATAAATTTAATGATTTTATATCTAAATCATCATTCTGTTCTGTAAAAAAAAATTGATCTTAAAGCTAATTTCTATGATGACGAAATTGCAACGAGCACGCGCATAAGCTTACCTTTATAGATTGCGTGCATGTCAGTTACATTTGCGATTTACTCGTGTTTAGTAGAATCGATTTCATTAAACAAAAGTGATTTTAAAAAGAATTTTTTTGTTTTTTTTGTAAACAATAAAAATATAGTGCAGTATATTTCTTATTAAGATATCATATCCTATAAGAAATTATAGTCCATTTTTTTTATTATTAATAATTATAGTCCATAATTTTTATTATTAAATTCAAATAATCACCAATTCATAATAATCAATAAATAATAATCAAAATTCATAATAATCACCAATGGGAAGCCTGCATTCGAAGGATATACGTAATGGAGTCCAAAGTTGCAAAATGAGTAAAATGTGCGTAATAGATATTTTTTAATTTTAATTTAAAATTATTAATTAAAATTTTTATTGCAAAATATTAAATACATATCAATATCTAATATCTTTCTGATAACAAAATTCATCTTGAGAGGATCATAGAAATATCCATATAATAATAATCCATATATAATAATAATAATAATAATAATAATCCAATATAATAACCAAGTTAATATATTTTTCTAATATTTTTTAGAATGTAATTATTGTTTTGATGTTAATTCATAAATATTTCAAATAATTTTTTTAAAAATTTTTCAAATAATTTTCTCAAAAATATGATATATATATAATCTAGATATATATACAAAATAGACATTTTATGATTTTTATGATATTTCTCAAAATTAATGCAATGTATTTAAATTTTATATATATATATATATATTTATATATATATATAATTTTATATATATATATATTTATAAAAATCCTATTATATATATTTATAAAAATATCCTTTATTTAATAATATAAATGAAGATTAATTAATTGCAGTTAATTTTTTTCTATAAATTTGTATTTTTGTGAAAAATGAATAAGACAATGATAGAACATCTATGAAAAAATAAAAAAAAATAATTTTTTTTTGTTTGAAAATAAAAAAATTCTTGATATATGTTGTTTTGAATCTAAATCTGGTCTGTTCATTGATTTTTTTCGTAGGTATTCTTTGTTTTATCTATTTTCCATAAAAATGCTTCAAATTTGTAGAAAAAAATGTTAATAGTTAATTATAATAAAAAATATTTTATAAATATTTTATCTGAATATGTAAAATTAGATATATTATATTAAATATATTTTCGAAAAATATTGAAAATTATGAGATGTCAAATCATTTTATTTCGAATTGTATTATTATTTTATAATTTGCTGCGTAATTTTAACTTTATATAATCGTATGTTGATCAATTTTAATTTTATTGAGATTTATGCATCTTTCTTTTATCACGCGATTTTACTAATTTTGTCTTATCAGAATACTCGAGCAATTACGTTAGTCGTAAAGAAAATAAAAAATTAAAAAAAAAAATCTTATCCTAATAAATAACATATATTTATCTGTATATATTTAATTTTTTTTTTTAAAAACGTGATATTTTAATAATGTAATAATGTAATAATATAAAACATATATAATATATAATGTAATAATATAAAATTTAAATTCATTTTATTTAAATTCATAAAATATTTTCATATTTATAAATTGTAATTATATGATAATGAGTTTTATATTATATGTAAATTATATAAAAATTTTATTATATTTATATTTAATTATTATATTTATATTTATATTTATATATAAAATTTTATTATATTTATATTTTTTATTATATTTTTATTATATTTATATTTATTAATTATAACAAAATATTAAGATGACAAACATTATTATATCAAATATTATTTTATATTTTATATTTTATATTATAATTGTATATACATTATTATATTATACTTTATATATGCAATATTTATAATAGTTTTATTTTTCCACGTATAGTACAAAACTTTCCAATATATATTTTAGTACCATATTATACGATAACAGATTACTGATCTATATCATCATATAATATATAAAAAAAATTTTTAGTTTATATTTAATCAATTACTGCGATATAAAAAAAATGTAAAATTTTAAATATAACTTATTTTGTCTAAGGTATTAAATAATCATATTATTGATATTTTGTTAATTATTTATTTATAATTATTGTTAATTAAAATATAGATTTAAATAAATAATAATTTTTTAAGATTTTTAAATATTCACATAAATATAAATTCCAAATTTTTAATGCAAGTTTGTCGATCACGTGATATAGTATACGAACTAATTTATCAGCATGACGCGGTGGTCATATGAGTAATCGCGTGGTTTAACCTCATTCTTTTAGTAACAAATACAACAGTTTATCGAAAGATGTTCGATCAAATAAGAGGTAATTTATATGAAAATAGCGAGTATGTCTTCAAAACATTTGTTGAAACGATTAAATTGTCACTTTACTAGTTTTTTCCATCAATCGAGTTATTTATGTTATGCTATTGGAGACCTTGATGCCAAACATAATCAGTTGAATGACAGGTAAAATAAAAAATTTTTAATTTTCAAATTTCTAGATAGTAGAAAAATTATAAAATTTTATAATTTAAAACAATTATTTATGGTTATTATTAATGTTGATATTGCATATATTGTAAAGATACTTGCTATAAATATATATCCTAAATATAAGAAATACATTAAATATCTATATAGAAAAATATTGCAGAAAAAGTGAGTATGCTTTAACTTAACTTTAAATGATATACAACATTTTTTCTTTGATTTGTGTATTAATTATATTATATTGATTATATCATTTTATATTAATATATTTAATATTTAATATTATGAATTATAAATTATATATATAATTATATAATATATATTTAATATTTATGAAATTAATTTATAGAATAAATTCATTATTTTCTGTTTGATTCCAGAATTTTGTATTATATAATATAAAATAATATATAAGAATTATATAGAAATTAAAAAAAAGTATTTATACAAAAATTGTGATGTTTTATAATTTTCTTTTTTGAGATTTTTTGAAATTTCTGTTAATATAAAAAAATATAATAATATATTTAAAATTAATTTATTATAAAAAAATATAAAAATATATTTTATAAAATACAGAGCAATGAATCGTTTCATTTTAAGATTAATTTAAAAAAAAGTTGACTATTATGTAATATAAATGTAAAATTTATTCCTTTTCATTCCTTTTATTTAAAGATATATTTTAATTAATATTTTTCTAACTTAATTAAGTTATTTTTATTCAAATTCTTTTCTATAAAATATATTATAAAATATTTAAAATATATTATATATATTAAAATAATATATATATATTAAAATATATTATATATATTATAAAATATATTATAATATATTCATTCTGATTGTTATATTGTGTATAATATTTATCAGTATATAATAATCATGAATAATTATCTAACTTTTTTTATTAAATACATATAATTTATTCATAGCAAATGATGAAAGATATATATTTCGTTCAGTAAGCGACATCGCGCGTCTGCGCGATATGTGCACTTGGATTATATTAGTTATATATACGTTCAGTAACGTAACATTATGATTCCATTTTATTATTACATTTCCATTTTATTGTTTCATTTCAATACAAATTTTGACAGTTTATAAAAGTTCAATGACAAAAAGTTATCTGAAAACTTAAATTTGTCCAAAAAATTTGTCCAGATCCAAAAATTTTTGTATTATTGGTATTCAATATTTTGGTATTGTCTGAAAATCCGATTCAAATATATAATAAATTTACAATCAAAAAATTATTATTTATTATCTATTATAAATATTAATTAATTCCCAAGATTTTTATTACGTACAATAAAAAGTGCAATCACGAATTAAAAATTAATCCATGAGATTTTTTCATTGGCTCATCTGATTGATACGTAACTGAGTTCCCCGCACTCTAACCTCATCATGATGCTACTGCGTTCTGCCGTACCGACATTTCGTCTCAATCAGTCTTAAACTTCACTCGTTTTTACAGACTCCAAAGCAGTACTCATTTAGTCTGTGACAATAATTCTTCGACGATGTCGAGTGTTCAAAGGGATCAACTTGGTCAACGGGGACATGGCGATGCTATGTGTTCTAATTTACTTCGCGGTCTTGATCATCTAAAAAATCCTCGATTGAATAAGGTACGCTAACATAATATGTTTCAATTTAACGATTAGTAACGGCATAATGCCGGTAAAATTGCTGATAGTTTGACATCTGATATTGATGTACTTTGTGCTTAATAATATGCTTCATTTAAAAAAGGATCGTTAACTAGATATTATTAACATCTAAAATTAAGCATTAAATTTGTAGACCAGAAAAAATAATGGCGCCTTCTATTCATTCTTTATTACTGTTTATTGACATGGTATCCAAGGCATTCGTACTTTTATTAAGTCGAAAAGTTTCCTATAATCCGTGAAAATGATATATGCAATCTTATACATTATAGCTTAATTTCTGGCGCGAAATTTGCATATTCAATAATTATTATATTATTTCTAGTATTCAATAACTGAAAATTTTTCATTTTGTTACTTTAGATTATGCATACGTTACCTAAGTGATAATAATTTATGAATGAAAAAATATTCTATTGACATTAGAGATTGTATTTTTATATATATTATATAAATTACAAAATTGCTTATTTTTCTATGTAATGATATATTAATCAAAAAACAATCGTTTTTGTATTTTTTTTACAATCAAACATTTGAATATTTCGAGATAATGAATATTTTGTACTTTATTATTTTATTATTTTACGTATTAATAGGTTATGATGGAAATGAAAGTATATATAAACAAAGATTAATATGTACAAACAATAAAAGAGAAATGAAAGAAAGTGAATATAAATGATTTGCAATAAAACTTGAAGAATATTTATTAATTATTCGGTTATATTGGATCACGTCGTTGCACATAGTCGTGCAATTCTGTGAAATTCACTTTCACGGCATACATACTTATTATACTGAACAAATGGTGATATGACAACCTAAGGATGATGAAATAAATACTTTTTATAAAACGATAAAGCATCACTATCTTTATTACATTTTTCACACATATTTTTATATTTTCATTTTTGTATACTGATGCTCAAATTAATTTATATTTTTATAAAGCTGTCAACAATTTAATAAATAATTCTATCAATATCTATAAATATAATAATTTATAGATTTATAGATATTATTTTTTATAAATTTATAACATGAATATTGATTTAAAAATTTAATAAAATTTGTAATAAAATTAAATAATTTTATATAATGTATTGCCTCCTAATAATTAAATCTAATTTTTAATATTTTTAATTTTTAATTTTTAAATAAAATATAAATATAATAATTTTTAAATAATTAATAATTAAATTAAAAAAATGTTTTAAATAAAAAAATATCATATGTAAAATTGCATGTAAAAAATAAATATTTAATTTAAATTCAACTATTTGAAAAATACTGATTAATTATTAGATAATATTAATTATAAATGATATAGATTTTATGATTTTGCTAAGAGGTACAGTATTATACAAACAGAAAGAAAGAATTTTTTTACTTTGCAATGTTTTTAAACACAGCATGATTGTTAAATCCCAGAAAGATTAAAATAAGTTTTTCGATGACTGTGCAAAGTAGATATCGAATGTTCCACGCGGAAACATTCGAATTTGATTACGAAATCTACTGGGAATTTTGCGGCTAACAGTCGTTCATTAAAGGTTACGATAAATAAATAACTTATAGAATCTATAGAAATTTCAAATTTATTATATCTTTTTATATGATTTTAATGTTTAATTTTTCTTATAACTTTAAATATCCTATAGATTATTTTAATAAAAAATCTATTATTTAATTATAGAATCTATTATTTAATAAAACATAAGATATTAAAAGCAAAAAATGATTTTTGTTATAATTTTTTTATTTTTTTATTCTATTAATGATTTGAATTTTTTTTATATAATTAAAAAATAAGTATATATATTAATATATTAATATATGTCAAAATATGATAATCAAAAGTTAATTAATTGTATTACTTTATACTTATTTTGTAAATGTTATATTTTTAATATAACATTAATATTTTTTCAATTTTTAATCCATATAAAATATGTAACTTATATATTGTATTAATATAATAATTACTATAATAAATATAATATAAAAATAAAAAATAAAATTAGATTTATGATATATTATAATAAATAATATCATTTATTTATATTTAACAAGTTAGATTTCAACATATTTTTATAATTAATAATTTAAAAAAAAATATTGCATATATCACTGTATTTAAAATGTTACGATGAGAAAAACAGAGAATTTTTAATGTAGTTTATATATGATAAAAAGTGATAAAAATTTTTTCGAAATATTTATTAAGGAATTAAAAAATTCTATGAATAATTTCGATTTGTCAAGTAAAAATGGAAGAATAGATGAGTCATAAAAAAGATAGAAATAATTCCATTAGAAATAGTTCCAGTGCTTAGTAGACTAAGAACTAAAAGATTGAACATGTACAACGTTGTACGTCTATCTAACTAATATCACTTTCTAAATATCATTCTGCGCTTGAAATAATTAAATTTTAAATTAAATCTTTTTTTACTTCTATATCAAAAATTGAAATACATAAAATATCATTTTTTACATTAATGTTTTAAATAATGAAATTTTATAATAGAATTTTTAAAAATAACTTAAATTTTTTTTATTTTTGACATAAAATTTTATGCTCTTTAAATTTTTTGAAATTTATTTTTTGAGATGAAATATCTAAAATAGATTATTTGAATATCTCGATTATTATTAATAATAGAAAAAAATGTTAATTTGCATAGTTATTATCATGCTATCGCTTGATGATAACAAAATTTTGATACAAATAATTTTTTTATTTATAGACATATAAAAGTCATATGAAAATTAATTTTATTTTTTGAATTAAATATTAAAGAATAATTTTTCACATAAAGTAAATTATTTTTTTCTTATAGATTTTCTTAATCTTAAATTATAAATTATTGTATGTATTTTAAAATAATATATAAAAAACATCATTTCATTTAAAAAATGAAATTGATTTTTTGATGAATTCTATATTTTTACAATTATTAAAAAAAATATTTATATCAAAAAAGATGTTCTATTTGTATTACTTGGTACCATGTATGTTTGGTCTAATATATATTTTATATATAATAATATATTTAATATATTATTATATATTTATAATAATAGCTTTATAAATAGCTTATTAATGCTAATAATAGCATTAATAATAGCTGAGATATTCAATAAGCTTGTTTTAAATCTGAATGTATCATACTCTTTTTCTTTTATCATTCATACTCAAGGACAATTTGAATGGATTTGATTAAGAAAAGGATGAATTCAATTCTAACAAACGTTTCAACATTTATTGATTATTTAATCAAAATTTAAGTTTAAATTTAAATAAATTATTACTTTTATTCATTCAAATGAAGGAACTAAAGTCTCAACTAATTTAAAAACATCAGTCGATGATTCCGCTATCTCTCTTCATTCTCTATTTTTGCATTCTTTATGCAAAAAATATGCACGTCATGCTATCATTCAACAACTCGTCAGGAATCAGCTCATATTATTCGATAATAATTGTTTTGCAAATTGTCTACTGAAATTTATATATTTATTATATATAATTTTTTATAATATAGATATTTTTTAGGAAATAAGTTATTATTATTTATTTATTTTTTTTTTCGTTTCATTAGTTTTGATAATTTTGATTGATGATTTTGATTATAAAAAGTAATTAAAATAAATGAAATATTTTTGAAATTAAATTTTATATAAATATAAAAAATATTCTATATTATATATATAAAAATAAATAAAAATAAATATTTTATTCTATATTATATATTATATTCTATATTATATATTTTAAATATTCGAATATTAGCTTAAATTTATTCTATATATTTCAGATTTATAGATTTATATTATTTTACTTTTATGTTTTGGAATTTATTAATCTTTAAATACGTAACATTTTTATATTTCATATGAAATTTTAATAAAAATGAAATCATTCATATTATGTAAGTTATTTTCAAATTACTAAATTATATTTTAAATGTGTGTAAACAAATATTTTTTTTTATATTATTAAATTTATGTAAATTTATATTGTTTTTTCTACTTTATTAATTTAGAAATAGAATTTATTGCTAAATACTGCATTTTATACATAATATATAAACAAATTACAAATTAATTATTGTATAAAATACAACATATATATATTCAAATTATTAGTAAATTCTTTTCGTTAATAGAATAAATAAATTTGAATAAAATTGCATTATAAAATGATAAATGTTACAAAAAAACATTAATTATTTAAAATTCTTTTATTCAACTGATTATATACTCAAAAAAAATGAATATATATTTAAAATATCTGAAAATATTTATATTTTGGATATTTAAATTAATTTTTTATAATTCATTTCTCATAAAATATATATTCTTTCATATAAACATCTTTCTTATAAATGTTTTTACTTTAAAAATTGTTTAATTTCTAATTGTTACGTGACATATTTATAAATTTGATTTTTCCTCACCGTTTATCCAAAATCTGTTCTGCAATTATATTCGAATATAATCTATGTTCTATTAACATTTCTTCTACATAATAAATTATTGTTGACTTAATCAATTTAGTGATCGATATAACAAACTAATTACATAATAAAAATTATATAAGTTTGAATTTAGATCAATTTTGATCTAACTATATATTTGATATAACTATATACTCCGTGAATCAAAAATATAAAATTATATGTGGTAAAATTTTTCTTTACTATTTTCTTCTAATTTCATCGAATACTTTTTAATCTTATTATTATCACATAATCTAATTTATTTATAATAGTATAGCGATTCAAATATTATAATATAAAAAACTCTTAAAAATCTAATAAACACTAGTATAATTATAATTATATATATAATATATATATATATATATATTAATAAATAATATTATGCATCTATATATTTGAGCGTGATTCGGATATATTTCGAATGATTTATATTGGATTAGCTTGGAC